ACAAGTGCATCGCTACTAGTAACAAGTGCCTTACTAGTAGTAACAAGGGCATCGCTATTCGAAACAAGGGCATCGCTACTAGGAACAAGTGCTATCCCATACCAAAAGCATGTTCGCTCGAAACGACTTGACCACTTGAAAGCCATCTGATCAGCAGTAGCATCAACAGTCACAAAGGACAAGACAACAGCTACGAAACACTCAACACAAGCAACAAGCCAGCTCCTTGACAACCTTGATGCATCTCCTGAGGTCTCCTAGACTCCTAGCTGTAGCAATATCAGAGCTCAGGCATCTTCAAGCATCAATAGACTTTAGCCATCAGACCAGGCCTACCACGCTTCCGCCATCCAAGGCCGAAGCGGCTGAAGCCTTGGTCATCGCCGCGCTTCGCGTTTGTTTGCGCCACTGGGTGGCCACGGGTGGGCCGCTCCTCTCCCCCCGCGCCTGGCGCGCGGTGAGCTGGACGGTGACGCCCAGTCACCCTAGGCGGCCAAAGGTGAGGACACAGATGGAAGAGGGCGTGAGCAGTTTAGTTTGGAGGTGGAAGTTGAATAGAAGGGAAATGGGGGGAAGATATGATCCTGAAGGGGGATATAGTTGGATAGAAGGGAATATATACATATATAATATGTTTTAAGGATTGTGTATGAGTGGACCGGGCAGGCTAATGATCATGTGGAACTGCTTACTGTAACTCAACTCTAGCTGCAACCAACACATCAAAACACAAACAGCTTGCTTTCTTTGATCATGGTGACTAGCATGTGAAACAAGTGCCAATGGGGAGGCAGGTCGGCAGGCTTTATACTTCTGTAAACCTAGGTAGGTCAAGACATGCCATAGGATAAGCCGTAGCTCCCTGCGCGAGCTCGCGAGTGCTACTCGAGCCAGGGCCTTCCTTTCATTGCCTCCTTTCCAGGATTCCAAGCAACTTGGTATCATGCTGGAGCGAGCCTGTCGTCACTCCTGGCGGCAGAACCATGATTTCTCCAGTGCATGGTCTTCTTTGCTTTTCCCCTGAGAACTCGATTGAAGCGAAGCAACTGCGAAGCGGTACAAGGTGTCATGGTTTGTGTTCAGCGGCGTTTCCAAGTGAAAAAATAACACATCCTTGAGACAAGCCAATGCACAGCTAGAATTGCTGCCGACCCCTTTGCATGACCTTTGCACTGCAGCTTGGTGTGGCTTCCATGTTCCCAAAGTCCTAACCCCACGGCATATTCTTTGAACATCTTTGAACATCTGGTTTACGAAGCTCCAGTTGCTGGGCCCTTTCCGTGATTGAAACCCCAACACAAAGAAAGACCCGAACTTTCGAAGACAACACCTTTCGTCTACTTGGAGGGTCTGAGACCTCCTCGTCGGCTCCGTCGTCCTCCCAGGCCGCCTTGGACCGGGCCTGTGCTCGAGAAGCTCGGCTGAACGAGCAACTGCACGCAGCGGTGCAGCGCATCGATCTGGAAGCGGCAGAGCAAGCAGCGCCTTGAACCGAACGATGTAGGTCAGGTGGGTCCCGACACGTCGCGACTGACCAGTCCTGGTGAAGAGAGAAAGATCGCCTCGGACCCACCTATAGCGCCTCACAGACAACTTCAGAAGAGTTCGGGAGACCATGGGCCATGGGCCTGTTACCAGCTGGTTCCTCGGGTGAATTGGGGGCGGCATTCAGGTTGCCATTTCATGGAACAAAAGCTATGCCAGGCCCAAGATTTGTGGCATGAATGAGTGTGAATGCTTGGGCAGCCAAGGTGAGCTTTGGCGCAGACGTGAACAGCAAGAACAAACAGAGTGTTTTGCTTGCATTAGAAGGCACGGTTGCTGATGCTAGCTATGCCCCCTTTTTACGGGAGGTCAAAGGGAGAAAGGGGCCACTGGGTCGAAAGGTTGTTTAGGCGATGTTGGAGGTGGAGCAGGTGGGCCCGCCAATCACTGGTTGGGACCGCATGGAAGTGGATGGCATGATGGCATGGGTCTGACAGGATAACCATGCCATCCGAACACCAAACAGGTGGGTCTTTCCACTTCCATGGTGATCCCCATTGCCACGTCCTTTTCCGCCCCAATCCAATGCGACCGGATGACGAGCGCACCCGTGTGACACAGGACCACAGGTATGGCACCAGTACTGGCACCTGTTTCACCCGTATGCGCTCACCGGGCTACAGGTTGGACCTCCCTCCACATCGCTGCGAGCAAAGGCACTTGAGGGGTCCGATGAGTGGGGGGTAAGGTGATTATGTTCAAAGAGTAGTCAAAATCCCTGGACCTGCAGGATAATCTTCCCGTCCAACCATCCACCATTTTGTGGGTGGCTAGCACTTCAAGCTGTGGTATGTGTCACAGTCCAAAAACGGCTTGAGCATTCTGGAGCGTGGTGTTCTTTTCCTGGGCCGCTCGCCTCGGACGCCCCGCTTCGCCTCCCGCCCCTGCAGCTCGGCCGCCAGGCAGCGCCCAGATGTGCCGCTTGCTGCTCGACGCCGGGGCCGACCCCGCAGCGCGCTGCACCGTGGAGGTGAGACGGGGTTTCACATGCAACTAGTTACAGTAATTTTAATTGGTTAACGATGTTAACGTATGTTAACACCGACCCGAGATGGCGATGGAGAGAGAGAGAGAGGGTTGAATCCCAGCAGCGTTGGAAGATTAAGTTGGCCTGCAAGATCAGAAAGCCGATATGCCCAAGTAATTATGCTCAGGTGACAAACCCTACTGCGAGCACAGTTTACACAGAGAGATGCTCACAAAGTGGCGAATGTATGGCAGATGACATCCCCACGCAGAACTAGAAAGCTGCCTAAGAACACATCGTTTGAAACGTTGCGGAAGGTCACAGAATCCATCAGAATCCACAGACCAGTTCCTGATTTTCTTAAAAAGCA